CTGGTTTTATCTTCATGTTTCCCTCTCACCAGATAACCAAACCGATATTATGACCAGCAGGTTTACAGCTGTGGCTCCGGCAAACATCAGCTGATACTAGAGATTAATTTTAAATAAATTCTAACAACAGCTGATCAAGCTTAAACGTGCTGCTGTTGTTTACCGTGACATCCGCTGGTTTCCTCTTTCTGGCGCAAAGTGGACGATAAAAAAACAAGAGAGAAAAGACGATCAGCTGATCATTGATCAGTTTCATGATTGAAGTAGAAACAGGAGAGGGAGGGTGAGAGGATGAGAGAAGAAGAGGCAGCTGTGCAGCGTAAACACAGAATAACTCCAGCTTTGTGTCTTTTTCATTCTAGCTGAAGTCCAGGACAAACTGTGTTCCTTTTCACCTCAATACGAAACGCATGATATTTTCTCTGAATACGAGACGATTCCGTTTTTTACAGGATGGTTGGCAACTCTAATAATTAACCTTATGAACAAAATAAAGTTCAACATCAGTAACATAGCACCCACCCAGCTGTATGGAAACTCCGTCATGCTAGCTAGCACGCAGTACGAAAAAGTCAGCATAACGAAAATAAACTCCACCTAAACTTGGTTCATATCTGACCCAGATGGACTGCAGGTTATAACTTCTTACCTGAAGTTCAGTTCACCTGACACTCTCGGACCAGCGGCTGCTTCGGGTCTCTCCTCTTGCCTCCCTTTTCCTTCATCCACCTGCTGGCCTCCACCACTTGCTAATGTTATAAGATAAGATAAGATAAGATAAGATAACCTTACGTGGGAAATTTGTTTTGTCACAGCAGGAAGTGGACAGTGCAAAAGTTATGAGGCAAAAATTAGAATACAATAAGAATAAATACAGTACACAACTGTACAGAATAGAATAAAATAAAATACTATATACAGTAGAATAAAATAAAATAAATATACAATAAGATAAAAATAGAATACAAATACAAATACTATATACAACTGAGTAAAAATACAACGATGACAGAAAGGATTATTGCACTTAGTATTATTGTATGGATGTGTGTGCTTGATCAGTTAAAGTCTTTATTATGGAGTCTGACAGCAGTGGGGAGGAAAGACCTGCGAAATCTCTCCGTCCCACACCGTGGGATATTGAATCTGTGGAAGCTCCGCGATAGCCACCATACGAAGTAACGAATAACAAGCCTATCGAAAATCCCAGTAACGAGTAACGCGTTCCCGGTTTTGGCATAATAACTAGTTACCGTGCTCGTTACCACAATAATAACGTAGTTACTGTAACGCGTTATTTAATAACGCGCTAGTCCCAACCAGTGTTGGTCAAGTTACTTGAAAAAAGTAATCAGTAACTAATTACTGATTACTTCCCCAAAAAAGTAATCCCGTTACTTTACTGATTACTTATTTTCAAAAGTAATTAATTACTTAGTTACTTAGTTAATTTTTAAAAACACGATTTACAACCTGAATAGGTGGTAAAGCGATAGATCTTTCAGCCCAATTCTACTTTTTCTACATAATCCATCATACAAAATGTAATCAAATGGAAAAGTCTCTTTTTAAAACTTGTTTTATTAGTTTTAATCTTTTAACTTTATGCATCAAGCAAAAATGTAATTATATGCAACATTCACTGACTGGAAGAAATTTGTTTAATATTTAAAACTATTTTCTGCACATTCCAGCACATAAATTTTTTTTTTTTTTTGTGTTTACACTCAGTCTTTCAAATAGATGCAAATAAAACACAGCAGAAAATAAATAAAGTCAAAGACTAGCGGTCCTGTTGCTCTATTTTCACCTGTAAAGCAGGAGTAGGGTAGGCGGAGGTTTACCCTGGTGCAGGTGTGCCGCAGCGGTCAGTGGAAGGATACGGCAGTTTCTCTGTGAATTTCCCATTACGTGGTAGCGCACTCGGTGCTTGCTTGGAAGTTTAGGGGTTTTTTTTCGCTGTAAAAAGAAGTTTTCTTCCCATGCACAACGGACACTAATGTTTTTGTCACTTTTTATGGAATCAAACTTAAAGTAAGGTCAATACTTAAACGCTGCACGCTCATACTCTCTCCAGTACTCGATATATGATCCACTGTTGATCTGCACACAGCTGTTGTCACAAACGTCGCACTTGCTTACGTCACTGTCATCAGACATTCTCGCAAAAAAATCACGGTTTTAGTAACGCAGTAACGCAGCGTTCCTACGGGAAAGTAACGGTAATCTAATTACTGTTTTTGCAATAGTAATACCTTACTTTACTCGTTACTCGAAAAAAGTAATCGGATTACAGTTACTGCCCATCTCTGGTCCCAACACTGATTATGACTGACTAGTTTGAGTCCCACAGTGCTTCAAAAACATGCAAAAACACATACACCAGAAAGCATCCAATGGGTGAACATCTTGTGGAGACATCTTTTTATCGGACCAACAGAGTTCGAGAGTTCAGACATGGTTAGAGAGTTGGTTTGGCCAGTAAGTAATCTTATCATTTGCAAACGTTTGCACATTTAAAACAGCTGAGTTAAAGAAGAATTAGCTGAGATTAGTAGCCAATGGTGTTTGAAAGAGGCATAAACAGCAACTGGTTATACCTAGTTTCTGAAGTCCTATTTTGAAGGCCAAAAATCAGGGGTTTCTGCTGTCGCCATCTTGGTTGGAAAATCCAAGATGTGACGAGGAATGGTGAGTCCTCTACAGAGTTGTGGTTGAGAAGTTGTTAGCCAATATTCAAACCACTCATAACCCTCAATTTTGAAACCGTGTGCTATTTTTGACCGTTTTCATAGTAATAATGATAATAATCAATCATTTCATTTCATAATCTGTTTCACGAGGCTTCACTGTAGAGTCACTGATTACCTGAGGTTCACGTTACATCCAATGATTAACTAGCTCATCTGAATTTTTAACATCACATTTATGAATACAAGTTAAATTAATTTATATAGCCCAGAGTCCCAAGTCAAATTTGGTTCAAATTTTATAACTGGCCATTGGTTCTAGATAATTTAAATGGCCTGTATTTATATAGCGCTTTACTAGTCCCTAAGGACCCCAAAGCGCTTTACATATCCAGTCATCCACCCATTCACGCACACATCCACACACTGGTGATGGCAGCTACATTGTAGCCACAGCCACCCTGGGGCACACTGACAGAGGCGAGGCTGCCGGACACTGGCGCCACCGGGCCCTCTGACCACCAGCAGTAGGCAACGGGTGAAGTGTCTTGCCCAAGGACACAACGACTGAGACTGTCCAAGCCGGGGCTCGAACCGGCAACCTTCCGATTACAAGGCGAACTCCCAACTCTTGAGCCACGATCGCCCAATTTACTGCAATAACAGGTAAGGAGGGAGGAAAGATGAAAGAACTAGAGCACAAGGGGGGATGAAAGAGAAGGTCAAACACAGACTGAAGGTGGGCAGATGACAGAAAGAGTTACATCATGGAAATCAGGAACTGAGATCTAGCAGCATTTACTGTATTTACTGCATAAAAGCAGTCTGTTTGTACATGTACATCGACTTGAGTGCCTCATTAAAACACCACAATGTAGAAACTAATGTGTTTCAGTTGGAAGTACACTGTCTAAAAGTCAGTCTACACAGTTGGAAAAATAGGACTGATGTTCTTCGCGAAACACACCAGAACTTTTAAAAATGTTACAAATTAATTCATCAAAATTTAACACACTCACATTTACTCCTCCCCACTTCCTTTAAGTAGATAAAGGAATTTATATTATGAATGTGGGACAGAAAAGGAAAAGAAAATTAGTGGATACCAATTCACCAAAGTGCGGGAAATATGCGTGATGCTCAAAAAATCCACGGGGAAGTAATCCCAGAAACCTCATTGCTCGTACAGCAATACTGATCAGAGGGACATATTGATTTTGTTCTTGATATGATTTATAAGAACTTTATTTAACATTTACTTCTGTTTTCGAGCTTTTTTTGAACAAACTCCATGCATCTGTTTCGGTATATCGTGCCAGAAATCACCTTCTCACGGGATTTTGCTTTGAATGAAGTTTCTAATCATAGTCTACATCCGGGGTGTTTTGCTCCAGGTGGATTGCAGAAGAAGTGCAAATCCTACCTCTCAGCAAGTTCTCTGTTTGATTCTTGACTTCTCATTTCGCCCGAGATGCCACATTAGCAGCAAAACCGGAGAGCTATGCGCTTTGAACCAACTAGGTGTGAAAAACCTTTAACCGACGAGTCTGTTTGTAAATGTGCCAGGTGGTGGTGGGAACGAGAACACAGCGCACGCCACCTCTGCCCCACGCCAGAGGCAGAAACATGAGGCTTCGCTAAATGTCAACCATGACTTTTTTCCTTCATTTTTTAAAAAACAAAACACCAACTGACTAGGCAGCGTATGTTGTGGGGGACGTTTTTCTTGTGAGGAAAAAAAAATTCAGACTATAGGATGGAGGAGACAGCGCTAAGGAGGACAAGTAAGCTTGTTGAACTCATTGCCAGCTTCCCTCCCTTTTTCACTTTCTCCCCCGTGCTCGTTGAAGAAAGATTAGCTGGTGCGCTGTAAAGGTCACAATAGTGAAGTCCGTTTTGGCAATGTCAGCCATGGGATTGGATTGGCTGGCCTTCAAAGGGAGGGATTACCATAGAGCCACGAGCTGAAAGTAACCCAGCGCTGACGGGCCAGATCGCAGCCAAATGACAAATTACAGCTGGTCTGGTTAGGTCTGTGGGCCAAGAGAAATAGTGCGTGCGTGCGTGTCTTGGTGCTGCAGCAGACAGATGAAAGCTCCTAGAAGCTGGCTGAGCTCTCGCTCCATTATACAGACGAGTGCCTCTATTCTCTCCCTGTCTCCACACGCACACGCACACACTCCCAGAGTTGAAGTCCGCATGACTCCGCTGCCCTCTGTCTCCTCACGCCTCCAGGACAAAGACATCAACGCACACACACACTTCTAATCTCTCACACGCAAGCAGGCGTGCCCTTCAAAGCCAAAGGAACTGGAGCAGACGAGACAAAGATGGACACGGTGGCTGTAAAGACACGAGCGGGCGTGCGAGTGTCTCCTGTGGCTGCAAGGTAACCCAACCTGTCCCTGTTTATTCCTATTCATCGCACTCCTGTCAGCAACACAGCTTGACCTTGGCTTTGTATTATGTACCTCGCAGAGAAAGTCATTAGGAGCTTTGAAGATGAATGTACAGCATCATCGGCGAGGGACTTGTGTGGCTCCGCGAGGACACAAAGGTGAGCTGAGGTAGCTTCTGCTAATTGTCACAGCTAATTTACACTAATTGTATTTATTTGCCGGCTGCCTGACCGTGGCTCATTGACTGCCGGCTTTACGGTTCAGCAGCGTTGCGATCGGGTTCAGTTGTTGGTCAGAGCTGGCTTCCACTTCCAGGTCTTTGGGGTCTCCCTTGTCAGTGTCTATCTAAGGGACACCAGAGTGAGTAGCACTGTTAAAAAGTACTAAAAAGGGATCATACAGTTAGAAGCACTCACTACTGTTGCTTGACAGGACGGTCTATGTAATCGTTAGTTACTGTTACTGTCCTTTGCTCAATCCACAACCAGTCGCAGCAGATGGCCCCGCCCCTCCCTAAGCCTTTTCTGCAGGAGGTTTCTTCCTGTTAAAAGGGAGTTTTTCCTTCCCACTGTCGCCAACTGCTTGCTCACGGGGCTCGTCTGTGCTATTGCCGGGTCTTTATGCCTTAAAAAAGGCAATAAATAATTCAATTGTATTTTTCATTGTCCTAAATATACTAACAGGGTTCACTGTGGAGAAAATGGATAAATCGCAAAAAAATGCACTCATTGTTAGCTAAGAACAAAGTGCTTACATGCTTTTTTGCATGCAAAAAAAAAAGAGATAATGGGCAAAAAAAAAGTGCGACAATTAGGAAGAATGGCAGTCAAGATGCTACACTTTGTCTTCTAAATGCACAAACTGTCTGGCTTAATTAGGATACGTAGGACAATCTCAAAGTAACACTCCCAGTAAAACACCCCCAACGGGAAAGCATACACGGTAATCCACAATAATACTCAAATTATCTCATTACAGTTCATTCATGTGGGATGTGCAGAATGCATTAGCTTACAAATAAAATGATTTGAACATTATTCTGGCTTTCCTGCTTCCCTGTAGGGAGTGTTTATTCTATAAAAATAAATTGTGCTTACACTTGTCAGCAGATATGCATGCTGAGTGGAGACTTACGCACGACTATGCAGAAAGGGAGAGGTCTGGATAAAGGTCTTGCTAAGCATGAGATTCGTGTCTGTTGCATGCAGTGCACATCAATCTACACACATTAGACAAAAGATAAACTAAAGAAAAATCTACCTGCCTCTGAGAAGTCTGAGCCTTGCAAAAAACACTGGATATTCTAATAGCCTAGGGTTCAAGCTGAAGGTTAAAGAGCAGTAACCCTAACCCTAACTCTAACTTTACAGGGTTAAAGACAAGTATCTATGTTAAAATCTTAATTATTTCAGTCCAGTCAGCCAGCTCCCTAATTAGTTCAGTGTTGATATGTGGTTCTAGGCTGTGAGCTTGTCACTCCTAACAAAGAGACACCAAGCTCAGCAAAACAGGGATGACAGGGAATGGTGGTGGTGGTGGGTGGTGGGCACACTAATGAACTTCAGTCAGAGAACTCAAGTTAGAAAACATTCATTATACCAGCAGAGTATAGTTAGAGTTTGCAATCTAGGCTCTGAGCTCATCATACTCTACAAAATATGTTCTTTATAAACTGGGGAGTGATTTGTCAAGGCGGATGCTGAGGAGCAGTGATGCAGGGTTGGTACGGACATGTCATAGGTTTGGGTGGGACGTCATGAAGCTCACATGGGCGAATTTGTAGGATGTGTTGTGTATAATATATGAGAATAAAGCAGTAGCCTATACGTAGGCAGATCGATCCAATTATAGCGCAATAGGATCAATACTTAGATTTGTTTCTAGCCACTTAAGTTAAGTACAAAAATAGGTCAAAAATATACACTCTGAAGCTTTTTGTGTTGACTGTCACCTTGTTTTATTTACAGTGCTCCCTCACTATATTGCAGTTCACCTTTTGCGGCCTTGCTGTTTCGTGGATTTTTTTTGTGCAGTTTTGCATGCTTTTTTTCCCCCACAGCGCATTGTGTTCTGCATCCTGATTGGCTATAGACCATTGTCAATCAATCTTCTGTTGCGTCGAGCTTGTCAAATTTACTTAAATCTTCGATCGCTACCAGTGTGACTCTGAAGTGCTGTACTGGATGATGTAGAAGTCTCAAAAACTGTCTGAAATATTATTATATTACATTTGGCCTTGCCCTGTTTTTAGGAAAAAAAAATGCTTCTGATGTGTTTCAGTTCATAAGAGGTGATTTTGTGGTTTTTCCTTGTGCAGTGCTTCAAGTGCACATCCACTTGTTTCTTTAAAGCCCTGCTCTGGTCACTTGTATATCCACGTTGGATTCTTTCCACTGTCTGAAAATGATAACCGTCTATCATGACTTTGATTTCTTGGGACAAGGATGAAGTTAAGTGCAAGTGATAGAGTGCATCAAGTAAGTTTGAACTCAGAGGCTGTTTTCATCCTCGGGTCTGATGCTGAGGAGGGATTCAAGCACTATAACCAGAGAATAAAGTGGAAAGTGGAACAATCTGGAATGGTATTCTGGCATTTTCATTTAATGAGCACTTTAATCTGATAGGCAGGTTAATGCATAACACTGAATGAGTGAACATGTCAGGTGCCGCAGCCTGGTGTTGCTTCCAGTGGGGGCATGGAGACACTTTCTCAGTAATAAGAAAATAATGATGTCCCGCGGTACGTTTACACCTTTAACACATCCCTTTCTCCTCATCCCTTTGGGGCGTTCATGGTGCAGATGTAAATAAAGTTGCAGTCCCACTAGCACTGCAGAAGGGGATTTAACATGACCAGAGTAAGTTTTTTGTTTTTATTTTTAAGTGGCATGTAATTTGAAATGCAGCTTGATAAATATCAAACACACAAGCTGTCTCTGCACAGTTTGTATATCCAGTTAATGTGAAATGTAAAGAAAACTCTTAATGTGTAATGAGAGATTAGGAAATGACTGCTACAAAAAGCTAAGTACGTTAGCCAAATGAAATTTTATAAAATGGAAACTTAAATCTGACATGTAGTGGGAGAGTTTTAAAATCAGATATTGGATCATTACCTGATGGAATCCAACGTTTTTGTGACTTAAACTCCGTCGTCTGAATCTACAGATAGCAGTGAATACTAGAGTAAAAGCACAGGTCAGCTGATCACAGCCTGTGCACAAAGAAAGATCTCTTGGAGCTCACAAAATACATTATTGTGTGACTCGAGTCTAAGACATTCTTTTCCCCAAGCTGCACTGCTGCACCCAATCTTAGGGTTTCCCCACCTCCTGAATCCTACTTTAACCCCTGACCGCAACCCTTTTGGATGTAGAGAGAAGCAACAAGCAGGCTTCTCCTTTTGCTCCTGACCTGAGCTCCACCTTTGTGATGAAACTGCTGTTTCATCACTGCGCTGCAGCCTGAGAATATCAGCGAGCCTCAGTGTGAAGGCTGGGTCAGTTTAAAGATGAAGTTGGTGTTTGCCAAAGCAGAACCTGAATGCATCTCACACATCAGCATATTCAACTTTTCTACTGATACTATATGTTTTGCACTCAGGAAAATATTAGCAGTGGAACAAGAAGACATCTACAGATATCGTGACCAGAATATCTGTATTTTCAATCACAAAAATAAAGTGGTAAATGTAAGAGAGTGGGATGGCGATGCAGTGGATTGCACTGTTGCAAGGTTTTGGATTTGAACATTCCAATTATGCATACAATTTCCCTTTTTGACAAAGTTTCTATTTAGGGCTGCTAATAGTTTCTTCCTGTTAGATGGGGAGTTTTTCCTTCCCACTGTCACCAAGTGCTTGCTCATAGGGGTCGTCTGATTGCTGGAGTTTTCTCTCTATTGGGGTCCTTTCCTTAGAGCATAGGTGTCGAACTCCAGGCCTCGAGTGCTGGTGTCCTGCAGGTTTTAGATGAATCCTTGATTCAACACAGCTGATTTAAATGGCTAAATGACTCAACATGTCTTGAAGTTCTCCAGAAGCCTCGTAATGAACTAATCATTTCATTCAGGTGTGTTGACCCACGGTGAGATCTAAAACCGAGCACTGGGATTGGGCACCCCTGCCTTAGAGAATAAAGCTCAAGGTGTTGTGATTTGGCGCTTTATAAATAAAATTGAATTGAATTGATGGAGCCCATGGACTGATGACCGGTGGTCAGTGTCAACTGGAATAGGCTTCAACCTCCCTGCAGCCCTCGACGGATGAGACGTTAAAAACATGAATGGATGGGTATAATCAACGAACAACACAACAATATTCAGGCCTGTTTTTTTGCTGTACAAATTGGACAGAGCAGAGGAAGAATGATGGATTATTGTAGGTTTTACCATAGCAGTCAAATCTAGCCTTGAGCTCAGTGCACCAGAGTTTGCATAAAGCAACGCTATAGTTTGCCTGCTTACTTTTTCTAAAGCTTGGCATTTGTCTGGGCAACGCTGCACACAACTTTCCACTCTTTCTGAGCGGATGTTATGTTTATAAATGAGACCTCAGGAGGCTGCTGGATGGGGCAGGTGGTTTAGTTTCTGCAGAGGCATACAGGTGGGATGCTGCGGGCCACAGGTTATAGTCACTCTAGTTATTGCTGGTTGCTTGGCACGGCAACTCGCTGGAGAGCAGCAAAGCCAACAGAAATCAGTGACTCACCCTTCCTATCTCCCTCACACTCTCTCACTTTTTTTCCCATTCCATTTCATCCACAAAGGGGGCAGAAGGCCCTCTCTCTGAGCACGGTGATGCACAGAGACATGTATGCCCAAGCATTTACATTTAGTTTCTTGCTTTTGAAGATATAGTTCTACCCCTGCCACTCATTCCAGGTGGAAAAAAAGTGAAAAGAAGTAAGTTTGGTTCCCTTCTCAGCCTCGCTCTTTGTGGATCTACATTAGCCTCTGGAGCGCAAACAGTCTGGAACAATCTCTCCCCACCAGACCTCTTTCAGTCTTTCTTTCTTTGTTATGTTTTCGCCATCCGCTCATCTTCCCCTCTTGTCCTCGCCCCGTAATCCTCCAAGATATACTTTGCTCCCATTACACGTGTGTTCCCAGTCAAAACCGATGAATTATAAATGAACGTCCATGAAGCAGAATGCCAGAG